GGAGTATCATTATCAGTAATATCATTATGATAGCATTATCTGGTAGTATCATTATCAGTAACATCATTATGATACTATCATCTGGTAGTATTATTATCAGTAATATCATTATGATATTATCATCTGGTAGTATCTTCATCAGTACTATCGTTATGATACTATGATCTACTATCATTCTCATGAATATCATTCAAATACTATCACCCCACTAACTTTTCAGTATCACGTTATCACTATTGTAACTCTATCTCTATTTTCCACGCCACACGTCAGGCCGGTTTTAAACTTTCAAAAATCATCATCCTCATCATCATTATCAATATTATTACTAAAACTATTACTATAACTATTACTATAACTATTATTATTATTGTTGTTATTATTATTATCATTATTATTAATAATAAATGAATCAATTTTAAAACTAATTAACTCTGGTCGTCATTCTCTCGATTCGAGTGATGAGTTTCTCAGATTAATACTCTATTGATTGTATTTGACATTTTATTTTAATTTATTTCATTATTATTTTTGTTTTATTTGTACTACCCTTTTCTTTAAATTTATTGCTGAATAAAAGATTGTTCCCATTATTATTATTATTATAATAATTATTATTATTATTGTTGTTGTTATTATTATTGTTGTTGTTGTTGGTATTATTAATGTTATTATTATTATTATTATTATTAATATTATTAATCGCAACATAATTATTTTTAAACTGATTTTGAATTTCTCGTTGTACTCATTGCATGTTGATTCAATGGCGAGCATCGTAGATTATTTCACAAACCTTTATACCATTCTAATTATTTTATTTTATTTTATTACATGTACATTTTGGCCAAAATAAAAGAGTTTCCATTATTATTAATGTTATTATTATTATTGTTGTTGTTATTATTATTGTTATTGTTATTATTATTAATGTTATTATTATTATTGTTATTATTATTATTATTAATGTTATTATTATTATTAATGTTATTATTATTAGCACATACGTTGGTATCTTGATCTCCTGTGCTTTTTTGCCAAATAAAATTCATTTCAATTCAATTCAATTCAATTATTATTGTTGTTGTTATTATTATTGTTATTATTATTAATGTTATTATTATTATTAATGTTATTATTATTATTGGTGTTGTTATTATTATTATGGTTTTTGTTGTTTTCGTTGCATTTTTCATTACCATCTAAATCGTCACAATCGTCGTCTTTACTGCCGCTGGTGAAAGGTTTATTGGGGAATAATTGAGAAATCGTGTGAGGTATTTTAATTATTTTTATTAGTATTATTATTGTTGTTTGTTGTTGTTGTTGTAGTTGTGTTGTGGTTGTTGTTGTGTTGTAGTTGTGTTGTGGTTGTTGTTGTGTTGTAGTTGTGTTGTGGTTGTTGTTGTGTTGTAGTTGTGTTGTGGTTGTTGTTATTATTGTATTGTAGTAGTAGTTGTTGTTGTTATTTGTTATTATTGCTATTATTTCAGCAGCTTCGCGTATGGCTGATGATGTGAAAATGATGATGATGACGATGATGATGATGATGACGATGATGATAACGATGACGTAAGCGATAGTAATAATGATGATAAAAAAATGTAAACATGCGTAAACTTTAGTGTAAACAGCACAACCATCAACATGAACATGTCAGATTCTGGATGATGAGTGTGACATAAGACCCGTCCGTCCATCCATCCATCCATCAATCCGTTAATTCATTCATTCATTCATTCGTTTATTTGTTCGTTCGTTCGTTCATTCATTCATTAATTCATTTGCAGTTCATTTATTTGCTCGTTCATTAATTCTATCATCTGTTCGGCTGGTTATTCCTATATGCGTTCGTTCGTTCGTTCGTTCGTTCGTTCATTCATTCATTCATTCATTCATTCATTCATTCATTCATTCATTCATTCATTCATTCATTCATTCATTCATTCATTCATTCATTCATTCATTCATTCATTCATTCATTCATTCATTCATTCATTCATTCATTCATTCATCATTCATTCATTCATTCATTCATTTATTCGTTAATTCATTCGTTCGTTCGTTCATTCATTCGTTCATAGATTCATTTTGATTCGCTTCATTTATTTGTTTACTGTCATGATCGTCCTTATCGTCGTCATTATCACCGTTATCGGAAGATCATCATCATCATTATCATCATTATATGTATGCGTGGATGTGTGTTTTTCTACGTGTGTGTATGTGTGGATGGATATTTGTCCGCGCGCGTGTGCGTACGTCTGTCTACACGTGTGTGCATGTATGCTTGTCTACAGGTTTATAACAATTCAAATCAATTTCAAACAATTCAAATCACATATGCTCAATTAAACACACTTTCATATATACTCGCACAAACACACACACAAATAAACACACACACACACAAATAAACACACACACACACACATATATATATAAGTACATATATATATATTTATGTACAATAGATGAGCCCATTAGTGAAATTTGGATAGGTCGTAAAATTTTGAAAGTTAGGCGATGATTGAGTTCGTTAAATGAGAATTTATATTTAGATCGGGTGAAATTGAATTGTGATGAATAATAATGACGATAATAAAAATAATAATAGAAAAAATACTACCACTACTACGACAACAACAAAAGCAACAACAACAACAACAACTACTACTACTACTAATACTACTACTACTACTACTGCTGCTGCTGCAAAAACAACAACAACACCTACTACTACTACTACTAATAATAATAATCATCATTATCATCATCATCATCATCATCATCATCATCATCATCATCATCATCATCATCATCATCATCATCATCATCATCATGACAATCGTTCACACAAACGCCAT